CTCACCCTCCAATACGCCAACAAGATACTGGTATTTTTGCACAGCGATCAACCTGTCATCTGCATGAATCGTGGTTTCAAAGCTATCTTTAAAAAATAGCCATTTAGTATAATCTCCGTCGAACACTGGCAGCTTAATCTCTGGCAATTTTGGTCGACGATGCATATTTTCGCACGTTCCTGTCTGATTATCCGTTGTCCTTGACTGATTTGCAGCTTCCTGCCGCCTCACTTCCTCTTGCTTGCTTGCAATTATCTCTCGCGCCTTTGCCGCCGCTTGATAATATATTTGCTCGAATACCATTCTTTCGGGACATTGCTCACCGCCCTCACTTGACAGCTCGCCTTCTTCCATATCCAGCAACTTGTCTTCGATCATGCATTGTATTTCTTCGAAAGCGCGCGAGTATTCCTCTAATTTTTGCAACCGAACTTGTGCTTCTGCCTCTGTAGCGGTTCCTGTTTCGAGAAAATTCCATATACGAGTAACTTGCCCTTTCATTCTCGCTCTACGCTGTTTCAACTTACGGACATCCGCGTCTGTACTCATCTTGCTATACGCTCCTTGCAGCGACTTACTGAATTGATGAATTCCTCACCTTTTTTTGCTCGAACGATTTTCTCGTCTGTTGCAACCGTACAGGCGTACACGCTTCCTCGTATTGAGGTTATGCTTATTTAAGGGACGTTTCCCGACAATATAACTGCTGATTTTCTCTCACTGACACCTCGAGCCCCACGTTGGGCGCCAATGTTTCTTGTGTGTTTGCTAAATAATGCTTCAGGTTCACTACTAATATATGATTTATTTGCTCAAGGCGCAGTAAAAGATACAAAGTTTTATGTAACGTAAAAGTTGCGTCTGTCTTGTACAACGACAGCGCTGCGTCTGCGTCTGTTAATGCTCGAATTCAGCGCTACGGTGGCTCGGAATCAAAACTCCTAACAAAACATCGATAATTAATTGATAAAGCGCGCGGAGCCTTTTAAAAATAAATGTACGCAATCCTTAACATATCCCGCCCACCTTTAAAGAATGGCTTTAAATGTTATCAATTACAAATAAGTTGCATATTAATCAGAAATCAAAATCTACTCAACGAGATAGTACAAGCTCTCAATAATAATAATAATAAAACATATTGATTTTCTGGTCTATCCATTCAATCCTCGGTTTCCTCTTCTACTGGCAGTAAGCATAGTCACAGGCCTTTTGAACTCTCCGCCTAGTGTCCGCAGTGTCACAACTCAAACCTCTCCATCCGTATCCGGGTGGGTCTGCGTTACTCGACCAAGTCTCCATCGAAAAGGGGGAAGATTATCTTCCTTTATCACAACAAGGTCGCCTATTTTTATTTTGCGATCAGATGTTGTCCATTTGGTACGTTTTTGCAGTTCTTGCAGGTATTCTACATGCCACCGTTTCCAGAATAGCTGACTCAATTTTTGAACTATTTGCCATCTCGACAGTGAATTCTCTGGCACGTCAAGCCGATTGGACTGCAATGGCTGTAGGAGTGATCCTCCTACCAAAAAATGCGCTGGAGTCAATGCTGATAGATCCGCGGGGTCGCTTGAAATAGGTGTTAGCGGCCTCGAATTTAGCACGGCCTCTATTTGTGTCAGGAGGGTACTATATTCCTCATAAGTCAAGACTCGTCCTTCTGTTATGGTGAATAAGTGCCTTTTTGCCATCTTAATCGCTGCTTCCCACAATCCTCCGAATTGTGGCGCTCGTGGGGGAATAAAATTCCAATCGATACGTTGTTCAGCCAATTCTGCTTTGATTATTTCTTGTTTCTGGTTAATAAACTCGTATAGCTCTCTGAGGTGCCGAGCTGCACCTACAAAGTTAGTGCCATTGTCTGAAAATATCTGCGAACATAATCCTCTTCGCGCGACGAATCGCCGTAAGGCCGCTATGAACGCCTCGGTTGACAGCTCTGTCACCATCTCCAAATGCACAGCCTTCGTAGCAATGCAGACAAACATTGCAATGTATCCTTTGCTGATATGTATCCGCCCTCTTCATCTACTTTCTCTTATTTGAATAGGACCCGCGTAGTCCACGCCAGTTGTGGTAAAAGGATGATTATATCCATCCACTCGTGCAGTTGGAAGGTCACCCATTTTCACTTTCATCATAGCTGGGTTGAAACGGCAACATTTAATACATCTTCGAATGATTTTTCGAGCTTCTCTTCTTCCGCTGATTGGCCAATATCGCTGCTTAATATCATGCAGCAATTGTTCTGGTGGACAGTGAAGTAACTTTTCATGTCTGTCACGCAAAATGCTATTTGTTACAGAATGTTTCGCCGGTATGATAATAGGATTCTTCTGCTCTAAACTGATTTCGGCATGTCGCAGTCTATCTCCTACTCGGATCAGACCCTCTTCATCCATAAAAACAGCTAATGACTGCAATGGACTCTTTCGCGGAAGTGGTCTATCTTCTGACAAACAGCGGAATTCCTCTGGGAAAGCTTCTCGTTGTACCCATCGCAGGATTGCCTTTTCAGCTTTTTTTAATTCTGTTGCATCCAATGGTGTCACTCTTTTGTTGCCTTTACAATTTTCTGCAAACCTGACACATAAAGCTATAATTCTACATGTTTTAATATATGACGAATATCTCCACCAGATATCTGATGATGGGGCCGCCGCTAAAGCGATAGCTACTGATTTTCGCTCTGGAAGATCTTCTTCCAGATTTTCTGTACATGATGGTGGTTCTTCCTTTCCCAGCCAAGATGGACCGTGCCACCACAGTCGATTTTCCTTCAGATTGTTAGCAGAAATTCCTCTTGAGATCTGCTGGATTTTCTTTTGATGCTACATGTGACCAAACAGCTCCTTCTGTGAGATTTTGTATCTTGGCGACTCTGTTGGCTACGAAAGTTTTAAGAGTGTGCGGTGGTGCTTTTATCCACCCTAACGTCACCGTGCTGTCGCTCCATAGTTTGACTCGACCAATTTTTTGCATGCATGACTCCTTTACAGTGTTGAGTAATCGTGCCAGCATGAGCGCTGCTTCTAGCTCCAGTCGTGGCAACGACACTGTTTTTAATGGTGCAACCTTTGCCTTGGCGCAAATTAATTCTGAATGAATTATGCCTTGCTGATCTGTGTTAACCGCATACAAACAAGCTCCGTACGCCATCTCGGATGCGTCACCGAATCCATAAACATCGAAGATCGCATCTTGGCTGTGAATGCTGATATTACTCTGCACTTGAAGATTATTCAAATGATTAAGGGATGAACAATAATCTTTCCACTCTATCATTAAGTCGACTGGAAGCCTTTGATCCCATTCTACATTCTGACGCCATATTTTCTGCAAGACGATCTTTCCCACGATGAGCACGGGAGTCACCAATCCAAGGGGATCAAATACTCGAGCTATTTTTGACACTGCTCTACGCTTGGTATCTTCCTCGTCACCTTCCAATTTAACCTGGTATTGCAGAGTATCTGTGGTGGCATTCCACAAAAGTCCTAATGTTTTAATTGGTTGATCCCTATCAATGACAAATAAGCTGTCTGCCTGATTGCTTTCCGATATGTGACTTAACATATCTCTATTATTTGCACGCCATTTTCGTAAAGGGAACTTTCCATAAGATAACATTCTTGTTAATTGCTCTTGCAATTCTAATGCATCTTCCCACGTTGACGCTCCTGTTAAGACGTCATCCATATAAAAGTCGTTTCTTACTGCTTCCGCTGCTGCGGGAAGCTCTTGCTCATGAATATTTGCCAATTCTTTTAGGCACCTCATTGCTAAGAAGGGAGCACATGCTGTCCCGTATGTTAACGTATTCAATCTATACAGTTGATATGGCTCTGATTTATCTTGTCGCCACAATATTAGCTGCAAATTCCGATCCTGCTCGGTTACTAGGACCTGCCTAAACATCGAAACTATGTCGGCCGTAAACACAAACTTATGCGTTCTGAATCTAATTAACACTTTCAGTAAATCTGCCTGCAGGTTCGGACCTGCCATCAGCTTGTCATTCAATGCCAAACCATTCGCCGTTTTCGAAGAGGCATCAAATACAACTCTCAGTTTAGTTGTCATGCTATCTGGTCACAAAACTGGTAGATGCGGAATGATACAGTGCTCTTGTGCTAAGGCAATATCTTTATCCTCTACTATGGACATGTAACCTTGTTGCTGGTATTCCTCCATGAACTTACAGTAGGCTTCTTTAACTACTGGATCCCTTGCAAATCGACGCTCTAATGAAGTTAATCTCTGGGTAGCCTGCTGCAGAGAATCTCCCATTTTGACGTGCGAACGAGTAGGCAAGCAAATCACAAATCTACCATCGCCTTTACGCTCTGTTGTGTCAAAGAAGAGTCTCTCACATTGCATTTCTTCTTTCGAATATGGACGCGGTTTTGGAATTTCTTCTTGAGCCCAGAACCTTTGAAGCTGTTCTTGTAACTGTACATTCGTTACTATATTGCAATTTTTCAAAAGATTTTTACTCTCTTCATTTAGCTCTCCACCAATTATTGTTCCTAAATGTGTATTCTGCAAAGCTGGCCTTCCTTGCTTCTTATTTGTCGGCGCACCTACAACGACCTGCCAATATATTCCAGCACCCAGAAGTAGGTCGACCGGTCCAGGTTTATAATATGTTGGGTCTGCTAATTCAACGCCTTTCGGAATGCATATTCTTGTTGCATCTATCTTGACTTGCGGTAATTGTTCAGTGATTTCTGGCACCACAAGACATTCTGCCATTGTCGTAAAATCATTGCACCTTGACTTAATGCGAATTCGCGTTGTCTCATTTGCTGTGGTCCCAATTTTATTGATTCCACTGATTTGCCGAACCTCTTTGTTGCATGGTAGCTTCAATCTCCGAGCCAAATCTAGCGTTACCAGATTCAATTGCGAACCCGGATCGAGTAATGCTCTACATTGTTGTTTCCTGTCATCTGCTCCTAATACGCAGACTCTTGCCGTGGATAGCACCACTGTGGTACTTCCGGACTTTGCATAATAAGTACTGGTCGCAGTATTCGCTTCTCCATTCGAGAATTGTTGCTGCCTTTGCTTTGCTTCCGCGCAGTTCATACTTACTGGCGCTGCTGAATCTACACTAAGCGATTTGTCCTTGACGCCATCTTGCTCTGGCGCATCTTCATGAATCAGTGAATTGTGCTTCTTGCCGCACTTCTTGCATGTCGATGATTGACAATAGCGTGCATAATGGCCCGCTCCTAAACAGTTTATGCATAACCTCTTCTCTAGAAGTTTCTTTTTTCTGTCTGCTGTTGATAAGCTCAGAAAATTGCTACACTTGTATGTAGGATGATCTCCCTCACAAGTTCTGCATTTGATCGTAGCAGAGACCAATGCTACCTTTTTCTCTTTTTTCTTTATTTCTGAATTTGCTTTTTTCTCCACAGTTTTCGCTTTATTTTTCTCTAAAATCTTGATAGAGTGACTTCGCTCTGTTAGAAACGCTATAAATTCTGATAATCGAGGCATGTTCTCTGGCGTTCGATTCTTCACTATATTCTGCCAATCTTTCTGTTCAATGAAGTCCAACTTCTTTTTTGCCATGTGCATTAAAATGACGTCCCAAGTATCTACGGGCAATCCGAGATTCTTCAATGCCGCTACATGCGTTTGAATATGCCAGATAAATTTGCGTAACGAGTCCGATTATCCTTTGTTATCTCCGGAAGATTCAACAAATCATCTAAATGATTCTGCATAATTATTATTTTATTATCGTATGTGTCTTTCAACAGTTTCCAGGCATTTTCATAATTTTCACTTGAGATTTTAAAGCCTTCTATGACACTGCGAGTCTCACCCTCCAATACGCCAACAAGATACTGGTATTTTTGCACAGCGATCAACCTGTCATCTGCATGAATCGTGGTTTCAAAGCTATCTTTAAAAAATAGCCATTTAGTATAATCTCCGTCGAACACTGGCAGCTTAATCTCTGGCAATTTTGGTCGACGATGCATATTTTCGCACGTTCCTGTCTGATTATCCGTTGTCCTTGACTGATTTGCAGCTTCCTGCCGCCTCACTTCCTCTTGCTTGCTTGCAATTATCTCTCGCGCCTTTGCCGCCGCTTGATAATATATTTGCTCGAATACCATTCTTTCGGGACATTGCTCACCGCCCTCACTTGACAGCTCGCCTTCTTCCATATCCAGCAACTTATCTTCGATCATGCATTGTATTTCTTCGAAAGCGCGCGAGTATTCCTCTAATTTTTGCAACCGAATTTGTGCTTCTGCCTCTGTAGCGGTTCCTGTTTCGAGAAAATTCCATATACGAGTAACTTGCCCTTTCATTCTCGCTCTACGCTGTTTCAACTTACGGACATCCGCGTCTGTACTCATCTTGCTATACGCTCCTTGCAGCGACTTACTGAATTGATGAATTCCTCACCTTTTTTTGCTCGAACGATTTTCTCGTCTGTTGCAACCGTACAGGCGTACACGCTTCCTCGTATTGAGGTTATGCTTATTTAAGGGACGTTTCCCGACAATATAACTGCTGATTTTCTCTCACTGACACCTCGAGCCCCACGTTGGGCGCCAATGTTTCTTGTGTGTTTGCTAAATAATGCTTCAGGTTCACTACTAATATATGATTTATTTGCTCAAGGCGCAGTAAAAGATACAAAGTTTTATGTAACGTAAAAGTTGCGTCTGTCTTGTACAACGACAGCGCTGCGTCTGCGTCTGTTAATGCTCGAATTCAGCGTTACGGTGGCTCGAATCAAAACTCCTAACAAAACATCGATAATTAATTGATAAAGCGCGCGGAGCCTTTTAAAAATAAATGTACGCAATCCTTAACAAACCGAAACGATGCACACTCTTTCGTCTATTACATATACAGGGTGTCCGAGACCACCCGTCCATCCCTTTTATCTCGAAAGCAGAGCATTTTAGAAAGAAACGTTTCAGACAAAAGTTATGGGGTTCTAAATGATCTATTCAGTGATCAGATCAGTATGACCTTGGGTGGCGTCACCAAGGTCAGAGCAATGTCACTTTGAATTTTTTAAATGGAACCCCCTATTTTTTATCGCATATTCTTGTAGCACACCTCGAGTGCTTTCCAAAACACTATAATAAAATGTTTTTTCATAAAGTACTTTTCGAGTTATAAGGCTTGAAAGTTACAGTATTGACGGCATTAGCATTTCCCAAAAAGTACCAGGTGTAGAGGTTACTTAATCGGATTTAATCTCGTGTATACGTGAGTGCATACTTGCGTCAGAATTACATAGTATACAATGTTCTTATTTCTATTTGTTAACTGAACTGATTATGTTTGATGCTCAATCAGGTCCAGATAAACTGCATGCATTTTCCCGTGCTTAGCATTAACCAGGATGAACGACATGGACGTGACGAGAATTTCATCCCATTGGGGTGCTTGATTCGCGTGAGTCCCCTTGCCTCTCACGTTCGGGGTGCTTGATTCGCGTGAGTCCCCTTGCCTCTCACGTTAAGCGAGCTGAAAAGAAGAGCACAAGGGATACATAACCCCAAAATCGGATAGACAGGAGGAATTCCGCCGATCCGGAAAAGTACATCTGGGCAACACGAGAGCGGGCACGTGTGAAAGAGAGAGGTGGAGAGAGAGAGAGAGTGAGAAGGGAAGAGAGTAAAGTAGAACCGAGTCGACCGGCAACAGTCGAAAAGGACAGGTGCATGAGTGGGGAGAGGAGGAAATGACAGAGAGGTCGGAGAGGAAGGGAGAGAGAGAAGAGACCTGCTTAGCGACACTGGAGGCAAGAGAAAGCAGAGTAAAGGAGTGGATCGAAAGCGGAGAAAAGTGGGGAGAAGGCGCGAGCGGGAAAGAAAGAATTCTAGAATTGAAGCAAGAGAGAACGACGGAGAAAGGGAGGAGAGGGAGACCAACGAAGACGGAGAGCCTAGGCAGAGGTAGAAGGGACAGTAGCGGTAGCATTCTATCGTTGTTATCGAAGAGGGAACGAGGGAGCGACTCGGATAGCGGGGAGGAAGGAGACGGAGAGGCGAAGCACAGTACGAAGCGTGCGAAAGCAGATAAGGAAAGCAAGGCGGAGGACAGCGCAAATAAAGAAATGGAAATGGAAAAGTTAGAGGAAATAATGAGGAAGCAGAAGGAGGATATAATACGAGAAATGAAAGGGATATTAATAATGCAGCGAGAAGAGATGGTAAAAGAGCTAAAGAAAGAGTTTATGGAAGAAGTAAGAAAAGAAGTAAAGAAAGAAATGAATAAAGAAATAGAGAAAATTAGAGAAGAAGAGATGAATGCCAGAAAGAGCTTAGAGGGAGAGATAGAGAAAATGCGAAAGACTTTGGAAGAATCGGAGAAGAGGAGGCTAGATAAGGAAAGAAGAGAGAGAAGAATGAACTTTGTAGTGAGAGGGGAGAAAGTAGGGGAGAGAAGAGTAATAGACGCGGTGAATGGTGTGTTTGAGAAAATGGGAGTAAAAGATAAGGGAATAAAAGTAAAAGAAGCGTTTCAATTGAAAAGTAGAGAAGGAGATAGTGTAATTTTAGTGAAATTGAGTAGTGTGGATGAAAAGAGAATGGTAATGGAAAATAAAAATAAGTTAAGAGGAACAAATGTATTCGTGGATGATGATATGACAAAGAGCGAAAGAGATAGACAGAGTGCAATGAGAAAATGGGCAAAGATTGAGAGAGAGAAAGGTATGAATGTAAAAATAGGGTTCGGAAGGGCGTGGATGAATGAAAAAGAGTATGAATGGAATGAAGAGAGAAAATGGATGAATGAAAAGAATTTTTAAAAAGAGCCTTCACAGATAGTAAAAAAGAGAAGAAATGTAGAAGTGCGATAGAGAAGGGAGATGGAGAAAAGAGAAAAAAGAAAATCAGGGGTAACGTGGAATGTGGCAGGTTTAAAGAAAAAAGAAAGGGACTTTTGGGAGTACATAGGAGGTTTTGATATAATTGGATTGACGGAAACTTGGGTAGAGGAGAATGAGTGGGAGAATTT